GTGTATGTGCAGGAGATATTCAACTGAGAGAGTGAACAGGAAATGTTTAAAGGTTGCAGGTTTGACTCCTGGTCCGGTTCTACAGGTTTGATGTTTCAGACAGCAGCAACTCCGATGATGTCAGTGTGAAGCCACAGGATCCCTGTGATGTCACACATGTTAGTATGTTTCCATGGTAATGAGCTCTCCACAGCTTGTGATGCTGTTTCAGTTCATTTCAGAAGAATAAAGTAGAAACCTGTGGAACTTGTGTCAGGACAGTTGGAGACACTCAGCAATGAAATTGATGACGATGACGATGATGACGGTGATGATGATGAGGGACAGTCTGATAGAGATAGCCTGAGCTCACTGAAGCTAAGATTGATCCAGTGAAGTATAAACTGATGTACATGTTGTTATCTGGTGTCACATGATGAGGACGGGGAACAGGTTGTGGGTCAGGTGAAGGACTTGCGAGAGTGGGAGCATCAGGTGTACGGTACCCAGTCACAATGTTGGTGTCAACCTTTCAGGCAGGTGGGGGCTCTACTGCTGATGACATGGTTTCAGATAATGATCATTAAACTCTTAGATAATTATGTATATAGAGAAAAGGTTTAATGAATGTTGTAAAGATGTCTGTAAAGTGACTGAAGTTCGTAGGACAGGTGACGAGACGTTTGTTCAGATTCAGAGCCAGACGTCAAAGACTAAAATCCTTCATCTGGTCAAAATATATAGAAACCACCAAGATGTAAAAAGTCAATCTTAAAAATAAGACTTAAAACTGGATAAAAGTCATTTTGAGTTTATGTCTGACAAACACAACACGTATGACATCACTGACAGGTGGGCAATGAAACGTTGCCATGATTAAAACTGCAGATTTTAATGTGGAAAAGTTCCAGATTAAAACTTAAATGTTCCACAGCAGCTCCAGTCCACTGAAGTCTGACTGTTAATATGCTGGTATATTACTTTATATTATTATATAAATTATATCATTTTAAATATGTCAAAGGAGTTTTAAAGTTTTTCTGAACTTTTTTTGTTGAGCTCATGGAAGAGGAAGATGAGGATAATTAATATTAAAGTGGTGATAACTGATCATAAGTGTTTTAAAGTTCAGCAGCAGAAAACTCTTGAGTTTGTTTTCTGTGACTCCACATGTGACATCGGATCTGATTTAAGAGCAGGCTGTGTTCCAGACAACAGATCAACACATTTAAAAGTTCCGCCTCCTGACCAATCAGTTCTCTTAGAAAATGACATCACCATGAGAGCCATGGTGCTTTCTATGACCATCGTTTATATGAGCACCTGTCATTATTGAGGCGTTCCCATGAAACTTCAGCAGTGAAAAACCTTAACTGGTACAAAGGTCAGAAATCTACTGAATTCTCCTGTAGATGTGGTAGAAAACAGGTCGTCATCAGGGATGGAGTTAATGAATGCTGAATGAACACTTCTTCCAGGCTGATGATGACAAACCCTCCGATAATCACCATGACTCCACCAACAATGTACTGCAGGAAGTAGGACTGAACACTGCTGACAGAGTGGAGGGAAACTGACAGACTGGTTCATCCTACAGCAATACAATGAGCCACAAGACCAGCACAGTCCCCAGACCTGAACCCCATGGAGCTGGTCAGGCATGAAGTGGACTGAAGGTGACACAGTGTGAACTTCTGTTGTTGGACCATTCTTGAACCATGTTTGATTTATAATGTAGAGCGACAGAGTTCAGCTGCTGGAGTCAGACACTCTATTATCTGCTCTCCTGTCTCTGAACCAGTGTTTTAAATCATTTCATTTCAGCAGGAAGATGATGATGATGTCACGTGAAGACGAAGTCAATGATGATGTTTGTCTGCCGGATCATTTGTTCAGTGTCAGTTCAAATGAGATGAGCTGTAACTCCCTGCAGTCGTCTCATTTTCTCCATCAGATAAACTCTTTAACTCAGACGTCTTCACCAGCAAATCCATCTCAACAAATCAACACACACACACACACACACACACGCACACGCACACAGCCTCCTCCTTTTGGCAGTGAAGCAGCTGTGATGTCATCAACAACAAACTGAAACAAACGCCTAAATGACTCATTTCCTGTAGGGAAAGTGACATCACTGTGTGTGTGTGTGTGTGTGTGTGTATGTGTATGTGTGTGTGTGTGTCTTTGAAAACATCATGTTCAGAGGAGACAGAAGCTCAGTTTGAAACCAGAGTTTTATCTGTGAGGACCAGTGTTTCTTTATTTAAACTCTTCCATGGTTTCAGCTCGCTGGGGATCAAAGGTCACAGCTGATCCTGATACTGAGGATGAAGCTGCAGCAGTGAGATCAGTGTTGGTTTGGTTGAACTCTCCCACTGGTGGATGGTTGTGTAGCTGTTGTTTTTGTCCAGTTGTGTTACAGACTCTGAGAATCTGAATCTGATTCATTGACAAGAAAGAGACAATAACACAATAAATAAAGATTCATTTGACCGATAACATCAATATTTATTTACATTTTCTATAGATATCCAGATCAAACTGTGAAGTCTTTTTTTCCAAGATGATCATTCACAGTGAGTCTGCTGTGTTGTGTGTAGATGGTGTGAACTTTCTGCTGCACAAGTTAAATTCCTGCTTGTTGTTCTGGATTCGAGAAAAAATCTATCCCATAATTTAATTTTAATGTCACACACTGATGACATCAGCACCACGAGCTGAACGAGGTCTTCACCCACAATGCCACTCACACATGAACAATAAGTGTGTCGTTGTGTTTAATGAGTGTGTGTGTGTGTGTGTGTGTGTGTGTGTGTGTGTGTGTGTGTGTGTGTGTGTGTGTGTGTGTGTGAGGCTGTCACATGATCTGCTGGATGTTTGAACATATTGAACTTCTGGGGGCTGCAGGTTTCTGTGGTGGAGGGTTGGGGAGGGTTAAATTCAAAGTCCTTCAGCTGAGTGGAAACAAGACAACAGGTTTAAAATAGTCTGTCAGGGTCATGTAGCATCAGCTGCTTCTTTAACCTGCACATGCTCAGTTCTGACCTCACTTTACCCAAACAGATGTTGGTCATGAAGCCTGAGAAGCAACAGAAAACATCTGGTCTTGTCATAAACCATCAGAGTGAGACCTCAGCACTTTAGATGTTTCATGCGTCTGATTCTGGTTTTGTTGAGTTGTATTTATGTTTTTCGTGGCCTCGTGTGTGTGTGTGTGTGTGTGTGTGTGTGTGTGTGTGTGTGTGTGTGTGTGTGTGTGTGTGTTAAACAGGAACTGGTGTGCATTTGTGGTGACAAAGACGGTGAGTTGTGTAGTTGAGGATGGAGTTGAAACCTACGTGAAGCCTGATTATCATCCTTGCAGCTGGGGGAGTGGACAATGCAGCAGGGTGGTGGTGTAAGTACACACACACACACACACACACACACACACACACACACACACACACACACACACACACACAGGACTTCTGCAGGATTCAAAGGTCAGTTTAGAATAAAGAACAATGTAACAATTTAACTCATCCAATCAACCTCAGACTTCATGTGTGTTTTCCCAGCATGCACCAGTCATGAATGTAATATCTAACTACTCTAATGACTCAAAGATGTCAAATTTTGGTTAGAAATGAAAATCAGGTTGATGTCAAAAGTTGGCTAATTGACATTGCGACATTTAGATGTTGGATTTTACTCATGAATAAAATGTTGGTGTTTTGTGAAGATGTTTTTTTTACTTATCAACACACAAAACCAACAATATATCAACATCAGCTGGCGTCAGTGTTTGATGTTAGTATAGTATTTATAATGTGATGTCACCTCCTGTCTCTCTAGGTGTTACTTTAGTTTAACTTTGATCTGAACTCTAACTGTGCACACGGTTAAATGATGGGACATGTTCCTACACAGTGCTGTCACATGACACGTCATGATGTCATGGGATGATGGGCTGGAGCCTGTTGGCTGCTGGCTCTGATGTTCTTTGATCTCTGCAGCTATCGGACCTACATGAGGCCGCGGTACAAAGTGGCCTACAAAATGGTGACAGAGATGGAGTGGAAATGTTGCCATGGTTACAGCGGAGAAGACTGCAACGATGGTCCAGTTGGTGGAGCAGGAACCCAGATCTCCACCACCAGACCTCAACCCAGACCGGGACAGGGAGGGGCGACGAGCCACGGACAAGGGGGAGGAGGTTTTGGATCAGGACCAAGCGGAGGACACGGTGGTGAGTAAATCAAAACTGAGTCACTGAGGACAGGTGTCTGTCTCCCCTGTCCTCAGTGTCTGAGGGCTGGGGACGGGACCCACGTGGGCACATTCAAAGTCCAACAGTTTAACAAACTGGTCCTAGTTCTTCTGGAGAGGCTTTTTCTTCTCACTGGGGTCCAACACACAACTTAATGTGAGACCTGCTCCAGATGGACTCAGAGGAAACATGTAGAGAACAGATGTAACTCACACTGATCATGAACAAACTTCAGTAGTCTGACCTCTGCTGACCTCTCCTGGCGACCTGGTGAACTGCTCTTGTTATTGTTCTCCTGCTGCTTTTTCTTCCAGGACAAGTTGAAAGAGAGAAAATGAGGCAGCTAGAGGAGAAGATCCTAAGTCTAACCAAGAACCTCCAGGACCTACAGTCCACCCTGAACACTGTGAACCAACGCTTCCAACAGGAGGTCAACAAGCCGGGCTTCAGTGGAGGAGGAGGAGGAGGAGGAAGAAACCCTGCTGATGCAGCTCAGCCAGAGATTAAAGAGACGATTCACAGCATTCAGACCAAACTGGACCAACTGGATAACCGCACACAGGTGAGTTTACCTGTGGCTGATGGGCCCAGTGTGAATACATAATGAACAGACACAAACATCAAACATCTGTGTCAGCCCAGCTAGCTGTTAGCTTGTAGCAAGCTAATTAGCCTACATATTCATGTCTCACAGTTTAATGCAGACTATAGTCTGGGAGGGGGCAGATTGCTCATCAATTTACTGGAAGGTTCCTGAGTCCATCCCCAACTCAAAGTGTCCTTGAGCAAGACACTAAACCCCCATCAGTATCAGCCATCAATGAATGTGTGTATCAATGTGTGTGTGTGTATGTGTGTGTGTGTGTGTCCATGTACAGGCTCATGATAAAACCCTGGTCAGCATCAACAACCACCTGGTGAATGGGAAAGGTAACGACCTGGACGGAGGTCTCTCTGGAGGAGGACTGAACTCACTGAAGGAGGAGATTCTGAGGGAGTTGGAGAGGAGAGTGTCACTGTCCTGCTCCTCCTGTCAGGTACCACATCACCTTCCTTTAATTAGGCAATACAAACAACATGGAGGCTGTTTGATCACAGCTTCCTGCTGGTCAGGAAATCCCTACAGTTGTAGTTCTGTAAATGCTCTCAGCACAGTCGGAGGTCCAGGTGTAGCATAGTGAGATCTAAACCATGCTGTGTTTCAGGCTGGTGTGGAAGATCTGCGCCGACAGCAGCAGGAGGACCAAGAAAGGATTCGAGCTCTGGAGAAGCAGTTGAGTGCTGTGGACGTTCGGTATCGGCAGAGCCTGGATGGGCTGCGGCGCGATGTGGTGCATTTGCAGGGATGCTGTGACACTGTCGATGACCTCCAAGACCGCATCACTGACGCTGAACGCAAGATCAGCTCAGCCTCAGAGAACTTCGATGTTCTGCAGAACCGCCTGAACAAGGAGCTTAGTGGAGGAGGAGGCAGCAGCCACAGTGAGAACAGCGGGTCCAGAGGAGGAGGTCTCGGTGGTGGTAGTGGAATCGGCAGAGGTGGAAAGGACGTTTCGGTGACAGAGGACATGTTGGACAATCGGCTGAGGGACCTGGAGTGGCGGGTCAACAACACTGTGCAACGAACCGAGCAGAGTTGCTCATCCCTGGAGAATGAACTAAAAGACTACTTCCATAAAGAACTTGGGGACCTGAGGACTGTGTTCCTGGATCGGTTCGATGACCAGGCCTTCAGGATCGCAGATGTGGAGCTGGATGTGGGGCTGGTGAAGGCCAGAGTGAGCAACCATGACAAGAGGCTGACAAACCTGGAAAACAACACCTCCCTCATCAACCGAATGCTGGAGAAGTGCAGCTGTGGAGGGCCGGAAGAAGGAGGAGGTGATCGAGGAGATGTAGGAAGGTGGGGGGGGGTAGGAGGAGGAGGAGGAACAGGGGGAGGATTATCTGGGACAGGAGGAGACAGAGAAAATACAACAGAGAAATCATTGGAGTGGAGAGTGGTGGCCAATGAAGATCGGATTCAACATTTTAACACTCGACTTAAAGACCTGTCGGTGTCCGGAGACTCTCTGCACGACAAAGTGAGTCATCTCTGAGCCTCTCTTCTGATTGGCTGACTGTTTTCTGAGTGATCCAATAAAAATATAGCAGATTTCAGGTAAAAAACACTCAGAGAAACCAAATCCTGCAAGGTTTGGATGGTGGGTCCAGGTGGGCGGGGCTTGGTGACTGCTTTGTTGTGACATCACAAAGTTCCAGAAGTCCTGACGGCTGGTTTTAAGGCTCAGTTTCTGAATACAGGCTGTGTGCATTTCTCTGTGGACTGAGGCTTTGATACTTTCACAGTATTAATATAGAAGCTAGACCTGATCTATAATCACACTACACATGGACACAGACCTTTACACTGGATGGAGCTTTAGGATAGCTGACCATTCATATTTAATGTGTGTATAAACGTTATCATCTTCATCCTTTGTAAATATTTTTATATTACAAGATTTCAGGTCTCACAGATGAAAGAGAAGTGAATAATTATGTTTTTACTGTTGAGATATTAACATGTCAACCAACGTCCAGGTTCTGGATCTGAGCCATGATGTCCGTAAGATCAAGGCTCTGACAGGCGACCACGGTGAACACTTTAACCGAATTGTGACGGAGGTGGAGCTGCTGGGGCAGGACAGCGAGCTGTGCAGGAAGGTGGAAGATGAGTTGGGAAGGCTGAAGAATCACTCCCATGATACACTGGGGCGCATGCAGAGCCACATCAGCAGACTACAGATCAGACTGGACTCAGACAAAGAAGGCTGCTTCCAGATCTGTTCACACCTGCAGAACGAAGTCCACCTGCTGCGAGATGATGTCAGAAGGTGCACTGGCCAATGTAAGACCAGCCTGGACACGCACACAGGTCAGATCAACCAATCAAATGATCCTTCACAAAGCCTGATGCCACCCTGATGTTTCAGTTATTCACAAAGTTCAAACGCCTGATGATAAAGTAATTTAGAAAAAGTCTGATTAATTAACTAATTAATAAATAAAGATTTTTTTAAATAATCAACATTCGAACAAAGTGAGACGCTGGTTTAATGTTGAACACAAACTAAACACCCAACAGGAGCTGGTTCTTCTGGTTCTGCTGGTTCTGGTAACACTGGTAGCAGTGGTGCTAGTGGTGGTACCAGTGGACCTGGGACTGGGTTGGATGCTGAGAAGCCTTTAGATGGCCACAGTGTGATTGGAGGCTCCATCAACAACAACCAACTGAAGACGCTGCAGGGCGAAATGTCTGAGGTCATCCTCACCTTCAGCTCCATCAACGACACCCTGAAGGGGCTTGAACACACGGTGCAGAAACATGGCAGCGTCATCACAGACCTCGGTGAGCCAAACTAACAATGACCAACAGTCATTAACACACCTGCCCCACCTGACGTTCACTCCTTCATCCTCTGACTCCCCGCAGGAAACACCAAGGATAAGATCATCTCTGAGCTGGACAAGATCCAGCAGGAGGTGACAGAGCATGTGGAGGAGAGCCGGGACCGTCTGGATGGGATGGGCCACGACATCCGGCGGTTTGAGAGCACGCTGCTGGTGGAGATGGGAGACTGTAAGAGGTCTGGAGACGGGCTGGAGAAGAGGCTGTCGAAGCTTGAGGGCGTCTGTGGGAGACTGGACGGCGTCTCTGACTCCATCCACAAGATCAAGGAAGGTACGGTTGGTTCTGATGGAACCTTTTAAATCTTCATTTCAGGAAACACTAATGAGCCAAAGGTTCAGCAGGTGGAACTCCTGATATGAGTTGCTCATGGCATCAACAGTAGCACTTGCAAATTCAACAATAACTGAACTGAACAAAGATCTGAACCTGAACTTGGTCAGTGGTTCTGAGATTCATGGTCGCTGTCCTCAGGTAAAGAGTGGACGCTGGTCAGCTGACTAACGATGAACACATGAGCAAGAATGATATGTACATTGTCCTACTGTGTTCCCCCTGTCCTCTTTTCTTGTGAACCCTGTTCTCATGTGTCCTCTGTTCTCATGTGTCCTCTGTTCTCATGTGTCCCCTGTTCTCATGTGTCCTCTGTTCTCATGTGTCCTCTGTTCCCATGTATCCGCTGTTCTCATGTGTCCCCTGTTCTCGTGTGTCCTCTGTTCTCATGTGTCGCCTGTTCTCATGTGTCCCCTGTTCTCATGTGTCTCCTGTTCCCCTGTGTCCTCTTTTCCCATGTGTCCCCTGTTCTCATGTGTCCTCTGTTCTCATGTGTCTTATGTTCTCATGTGTCCGCTGTTCTCATGTGTCCCCTGTTCTCGTGTGTCCTCTGTTCTCATGTGTCGCCTGTTCTCATGTGTCCCCTGTTCTCATGTGTCTCCTGTTCCCCTGTGTCCTCTTTTCCCATGTGTCCCCTGTTCTCATGTGTCCTCTGTTCTCATGTGTCTTATGTTCTCATGTGTCCGCTGTTCTCATGTGTCCCCTGTTCTCGTGTGTCCTCTGTTCTCATGTGTCGCCTGTTCTCATGTGTCCCCTGTTCTCATGTGTCTCCTGTTCCCCTGTGTCCTCTTTTCCCATGTGTCCCCTGTTCTCATGTGTCCTCTGTTCTCATGTGTCTTATGTTCTCATGTGTCCGCTGTTCTCATGTGTCCCCTGTTCTCGTGTGTCCTCTGTTCTCATGTGTCGCCTGTTCTCATGTGTCCCCTGTTCTCATGTGTCTCCTGTTCCCCTGTGTCCTCTTTTCCCATGTGTCCCCTGTTCTCATGTGTCCTCTGTTCTCATGTGTCTTATGTTCTCATGTGTCCGCTGTTCTCATGTGTCCCCTGTTCTCGTGTGTCCTCTGTTCTCATGTGTCGCCTGTTCTCATGTGTCCCCTGTTCTCATGTGTCTCCTGTTCCCCTGTGTCCTCTTTTCCCATGTGTCCCCTGTTCTCATGTGTCCTCTGTTCTCATGTGTCTTATGTTCTCATGTGTCCGCTGTTCTCATGTGTCCCCTGTTCTCATGTGTCTCCTGTTCCCATGTGTCCTCTTTTCCCATGTGTCCCCTGTTCTCATGGGTCCTCTGTTCTCATGTGTCTCCCGTTCCCATGTGTCCCCTGTTCCCCTGTGTCCCCTGTTATCTGATTTTTCCTCTGTTTAGGACTCAATCGACACGTTTCCAGTTTGTGGACATGTGTCTCTGGTTTGAATGACTCGGTCATCCATCATGGAGGAATCCTGGATTTTATTCAGAAGAACCAGGACAACGTCCAGAGCAGGATGAAGAACCTCAATTCGAGTGTGAACCAGGTCCTCAAAGACCTTCAGAGTTTCTCTGACTACAACCTGACCGGTACGCTGGACTCTACTGTATTCTGTTTCATTCTATTATATGTAATGTTCATAAACAGCATGAAGATAAGTTCAGTTCAACTAAGGTTTCAGATCTTTTTTCTCAGCAGAAACATTGATATCTGCACCCTAACCTGGACAGATGTTAACATGTCTAACTAAATGAAGAAAATAAAGCAGTAGAACACATAAAACACTCAATATATAAGTATAATATAATAGATCAATATATTAGATTGTCATGTTATTCAAGTTATAAGAAGATACATGTGATGTAAAAAATGCTGGTGGAAAGACAAAGAGTGTATAAGGACTGTAGTGATTTAAGAGTAGTGTTACTAGCACGGGACCATGTTGTGATCTGAGAATCGTACAATTAAACATCATAGAGAGCATAAATATAGTTGCAGTCTCTGCTGACAGGAAACTACACATATATCTAAAATTCTTAGGGTTGAATTTGACTCGATTCCAAACGTTTCCAATCTGAGCTTTAGAATAAAGTTTAATATCTGAAACAAGCTGCAGTCAGTACATCTGTTTCTACGCAACAGGTTTTGCTTAAAACATACTGTTTAAGATAAATAACAAGATTTAGCTTTAACCATGTTGCAATATGTAGTTAGATGGACAGCAGCTTGAGCTGCACAAAAATACCTATCATCTGCATACATTTGAATGTTGGTGTTAGAAGTGAGGTGGAGGTTTCTGGCTCAACTTTAATAGACCAACACGTTTTGGCTTGTGGCTTCATCAAGTCAAGTCAAGTAAATTTTTATTTGTATAGTGCCAATTCACAACATACGTTTTCTCAAGGCACTTTCCAAATAGAGCAGGTCTAGACCTTCTCTTCATAATATTATTTACAGAGACCCAACAGTTCCCACCAAGAGCAGCACTAGGCGACAGTGGCAAGGAAAGACTTCCTTTTAAGAGGCAGAAACCTCGAGCAGAGCTGAACTCAGGGTGGGCGGAGCTATCTGTATCAACTGGTTGGGTTGGAGAGATAGAGAGAGAGAGAGAAAAAGCAAGAGAGAGCACAGAGGAAAAGATCAAGAATGTGCAGTGATAGTAATATTAATAATAGTGACAGTAACAGCAGGAACAGCAATAGTAATTTAGTGGCAACTGTAGTGCTCGTCCTGATAACAATAGTAATGACAACTAATGACATTAATAGTTATCATTATTAATTGTAGTAAATTTTAGCAGGTTTAGCAGCAGGTGTTAAACAGGGTCATGGGGGCAGTAGGTGGTTTACAGATCCAGACTCTACAGCTGCAGCTCTGGAGGCGGGAGGAGCTGTGGACAGGAATAGGAAGGAGATAGAGAAGGAGGAGAAGGGAGAGAGAGAGGCACACAGCCTGGGCGCTCATGTGCTTGAGGGAAAAAACAAACAGAATGATGCAGTGATTAGGGTTAAGTTAGATATTCAGAAAGTTTACAGTGATCTCGTCAGCAGGACAACCTGGACTATACTGTACTGAGTTTAATGGTTTATTGAGACTGAGGCCTACCTGCTGGTGGTAGGATGGCAAGAGGTACAAAGCCTGAGTTTGTAAAACAATAAGAAGCTAACTGAAAGTTAAGGCATAAAAATACATTTTAAATTTAGATTTGAAAGTCTGAATGGAGTCAGACAGTCTGATATCAGCAGGGAGGTTGTTCCAGAGCAGAGGGGCCCGATAGGAAAAGGCTCTGCAGCCAGTCTTTTTAACTCTGGGAACAGACAGGAGCCCTGAATTCTGGGAACAGAGAGCACGAGATGGAGTATAAGGTTTAAGCAGATCAGACAGGTATGAAGGAGCAAGTCCATTTAGAACCTTGTATGATCTGACATGAACAGGAAGCCAATGAAGGGAGACTAAAATCGGTGTAATGTGGTCGAATTTTCTGGATTTAGTAACAATCCTAGCTGCGGCATTCTGAACCATTTGAAGACTTTTAATACGAGCACTTGGCAGGCCAGAAAACAAAACATTACAATAATCAAGTCTAAATGAAACAAAAGCATGATTTAAGATTTCAGCATCAGTCTTAGACAAAAAAGACAGAATCCTAGCTATATTACGTAGATGAAAAAAGGCAGTCTTGGTGATATCTTTAATGTGCTGATCAAAGGAGAGGGAAGAATCAAAAGTGACACCCAGATTTTTGGCTGTCAGACTATGAGAAATCACACAGTTATCAAGAGTTATTGTTAATTGATCAAACTGGTGTCTATGTTGAATTTAGGAGCAAAAAATTTTGAGACATCCAGCTTTTCACAGCAGCCAAACAGACCTCTAAATTCGTAATCTGAGAGGAATCATCAGCCTTTATAGGCACATACAGCTGAGTATCATCAGAATAACAATGGAAATTAATTCCATGACCGCAAATAATTTGACCAAGAGGTGAAATATAGAGAGAGAAAAGCAGATGGCCAAGAACAGAGCCCTGGGGTACTCCGTATTTCACAGCAGAGTATGTCAATATAGTGTTATTATAGGAGATGCACTGTGTTCTGTCAGATAAGTAGGACTTTAACCAGGTGAGGGGCAGGCCAGAAACACCAAATTTGCTTTCAAGTCGGTCTAAAAGAATACAATGATCTATAGTATCAAAAGCTGCACTGAGATCCAGCAAGAGGGTCACAGAGGTGGAGTCAGGTTCCATCAGTGTCCTATGTTGGTGTAAGGACAGACATTAGTGAGGAGGGCCCAGTATAGATGATGGAAGATTCTTCACTCTGACAAACTCAGACTGATTTAAGTATGACAGCAGCAGTAACCCCTCCTCCATCTAACAGTGACTTTATTCCTCAGTTAATGAAAGAACAAGCCGGATCCAGTTACTTTATTTAAATCAGTTTAAACATTTAATTCAGTACAGACACAGAATTTCCACAAATGTTGTGTCAGTGTGACTTTTGGAGAAATTGGTATAAAATGGTAAAGTCAGGGTTGAATAATGATGTGTGTTGTCATATATGATTACACAGGCCTTCCTGGACCCCCAGGAGAAAGAGGCTTCAATGGATTGCCAGGTCCCCGGGGGCCCCCTGGACCTCCTGGGCGACAGGGAGAGAGTGGAGCACGAGGTCAGCCTGGTAAGACACATATTAGTCTTGTTGATATGATGGAGGGAGAGTTCATAAAGACATAGAGGAAACATTGATGAACACCTGGTTCCTCAATATATGAAGTTCATTTGTAGCGAGCTTGAATTTACTGCGACTGTTCATATCAACACAAACAGACAGAGTCTAATCCTTTTTCTAACGTCTGCTGTGGTTCCTCCAGGTCCCAGAGGTGAAGCAGGTACGTACCCTTCAACAACACTGATATCTTAATGTGATCTGTGGTTAGTGCTGCCTCACTCTGCAGTGCTATGTTTATACATGTATGTGTGTGTGGGTGTGTGTGTATGTGTGTGTTTTCAGGCATGCCTGGTGCTGATGCTCATGTACCCCGACTGTCGTTCTCTGCTGCCCTCACTGTCCCCATGGACAGAGCTGGAACCATCGTCTTCGACAAGATATTTGTCAATGAAGGAGAATTCTACGACCCCAGAACAGGTAAACACATACTCATTCACCCAGTCACACACTCATTCACCCAGTCACACACACATTCACCCAGTCACACACACATTCACCCAGTCACACACACATTCACCCAGTCACACACTCATTCACCCAGTCACACACACTCATTCACCCAGTCACACACACACATTCACCCAGTCACACACACATTCACCCAGTCACACACACTCATTCACCCAGTCACACACACATTCACCCAGTCACACACACATTCACCCAGTCACACACACTCATTCACCCAGTCACACACACATTCACCCAGTCACACACACTCATTCACCCAGTCACACACACACATTCACCCAGTCACACACACATTCACCCAGTCACACACACTCATTCACCCAGTCACACACACATTCACCCAGTCACACACACTCATTCACCCAGTCACACACACACATTCACCCAGTCACACACACATTCACCCAGTCACACACACTCATTCACCCAGTCACACACACATTCACCCAGTCACACACACTCATTCACCCAGTCACACACACTCATTCACCCAGTCACACACTCATTCACACACAGGTGGCGCAGTATCAGGAGCAGTCAAGTTTTCCCTTCTGGTCGTCCACTAATCACAGGGTTGATGGTTCAATTCCCAGCTCCTTGTGTCCACATGTCAAAGTATCCTTGAGCAAGACACTGAACCCCAAACTGCTCCTGATGGTCAGACCAGCAGCAGCTTGGATGATAACTCACTGACATCAGTGTGTGCGTGTGTGGGTGGGTGTGTGTATGTGTGTATGTCATCAACACAAAGGCTTAAAGCTGAAGCTGAGCACAGTCACAGAAACAACCTGCAGCTTTTCTAACAAACAGGCCTCACCTGTTTTCACTCTGTCACCTCCAGGTGTTTTCACCGCCCCTGTGGACGGACACTACTTCTTCAGTGCCATCCTGACAGGCCACAAGAACGAGAAGATTGAGGCGGTTCTGTCAAAGTCTAACTATGGCATGGCACGGGTGGACTCTGGAGGCTACCAGCCTGAAGGCCTGGAGAACAACCCTGTGGCCGAGGCTAAAACCACCCCCGGCTCTCTGGCCGTCTTCAACATCATCCTGCCTCTGCAGACTCGGGACACGGTCTGCATCGACCTGGTGATGGGCAAACTGGCTCACTCTGTCGAGCCACTCACCATCTTCAATGGTATGCTGCTGTACGAAGACCAGTGACGGGTTTGTTCCAATGTCTGAGAGATGACGAGGCGGTGACAGGAAGTGTAATGTCACTGATTCAGAGTGAAGACAATATTTGAATATGAACAGATTTCTGTCACAATGTTTTAACTATGTTATTGTTCTATTGACTCTTTGTTTCTTCATGCGTGGACAACAGCAGGAGTCCATTAACTGTCTGACAGCTTTAATCCAATCATCTGATCCGCTGTGGTCACATGACCCGACCTCAGAGCAGCAGTGTGAGGACACGTCTCTGTAAACCAGGATAAGCCCTGCTTCCTGCTGCTGCGCGAAACGACTTTTTGGAAGTACGTGACGTCCTGTGGTGGAGAATTACAGTACTAGCAGTTTGTAGTGGTGTTAGCGCCCCCCACAGGCCACAGAGGTAATGACAGCCGCAACACAAACAAACAACCCCCTGATTTATTGATTCTGCCAGTCTGAACAGCAGCGGAGCTGAGGGTGGTCATTAAGGTCATTAAAGGACCACAATCAGGACATTTATTGATCTGATTGGTAGATATTTAGATACCTATCTGTTTATGATCTGATTGAGATAAGTGTTTGTGGATCAGTGTATGAAAGTGTTTGAAAAACAAAGAAAGCTTTTTTACTTTCTAGAAGCAGAATGTGTGTTTTATAAGCGAAGGTTCATGTTGCGAATGTTTTATATTGAGCTGCACCTTTTTTGTTTTATTTAAGCCATTATCACAAAATGTCACTTTTATAGACAAATGTTAACGGACAAGGCTGTAAACACTCAGTATTTTCTTACTGTCAACAAATCACAGTGGTGGAGAGGATATTCATTAACTGTAGTAATACCACACTGTAAAAAATACTGGGTTACAAATAAAGTCTTGCATTCTAAATGTTATTTAAGTAAATGTACAGAAGTTTTATCATCCAAATGTACTTATATTTAATATAAAAGTACTTAATGTAGAAAGATATATCGACGATAAAATAATATCATATGTATTGTTTTATTATTACAAATCATATGTTTTGTTCTTATCTGTAATGAACCTGTCAGATAAATGTAGTACAGTAGAAGTATTAAGTATCATTGTGTGGAATTATTGAAGCAAAGAACAAACATCTTCAGCACAGGATGTGAGTAAATGTTCCACCACTGGCAAGACTCAAAGCAACAGTATGTTAGTCCGTCTCTCAATACAGTCCCTCTTCGGTCTGTGTCTCTCAGCTCTGAGCTCATCGGTTCCTACTTACACTACCGGTCAAAAGTTTTAGAACACCACACTTTTTCCAGTTTTTTACTGAAAATTATTCAGTTTATTGTGTCATTGCACTCTGAAATGAAAGAATAGAACAAATAAGCAATTTGAGTTGAAAAAATAATCAATTTATAGACCAAAATGTATTCTAAACTTTTGACTCATCAAGTAGCCACCTTTGGCAGATATAACAGCTGAACACACTCGTGGCATTCTTTCTACAATAGAAATCAAATATTCTTCAGAAAGTTCTTCCCAAGTCTGTTTCAGAAGTTCCCATAAATGTGTGGCACTTGTAGGTTGCTTGGCTTTCACTCTTCTGTCCAGTTCATCCCAAACCAGCTCGATGGGGTTTAAGTCTGGAGACTGTGCTGGCCACTCTATGTTTTCAAGCTTACCATCTTGTCCTTTTTTCCTGAGGTAGTTTTGGCATAGCTTGGACTTGTGTTTTGGGTCATTATCTTGCTGTAGGATGAACCTCTGACCAACTAGGCGCATACCAGAGGGTATTGCATTGCGCTGCAGAATGCTGTGGTAGCCGTATTAGTTCAGGGTGCCGCTCACTCTGTACAAGTCACCGACCCTGGATCCAGCAAAACAGCCCCAGACCATCACACATCCTCCTCCATGTTTGACAGTTGATGTCACACACTGTGGAACCATCCTCTCGCCTACTCGACGGCGTACAAAGATCCTGCGTGATGAACCGAAGATTTGAAATTTTGATTCATCAGTCCATAATACCTTCTTCCAGTCTTCAGTAGTCCAATGGCAGCGTTTCGTGGCCCAGGAGAGCCTCTTTGTCTTATTCTGACATCTTAGCAATGGCTTTCTTGCTGCAACTCGTCCTGTCAAACCTGCAGCTCGAAGTCTTCTCTTCACAGTTGAAACTGAGACTTGCTTACTACGACCACTATTAAGCTGTGCTTGAATCTGTTGTCCTGTGAGCCGCCTTCACGCAAGCGCATAACTCTCAGAGGCTTTGGGTCTGCCAGACCACTTCCTGTCTGTCCTGTGAGTTTCCCCCAGTTTCTGAGTGCCTTTTGATGGTGAAGAAAACTGTACTCACTGACACCTTGACTTTCTTTGCAATTTCCATGTAGGAAAGACCTACATTTTTAAGTGTTATGATAGTCTGTCTCTCTTCCATTGTTAATTGCCTTTTTCTCGCCATTTTTGTAGCAACACACTACTTTCTGCAGTACAATACTGTTCACCTGATGCTCATGAGGGTCTGGTACCACAGTGTGTTCCAACACTGCTTTTATGCAGACAGAGGGGGTTGTATGTAGTCACGAAAAGTTGGAACACCTGTAGGAATTAGTAGCACCAGCTTTCAAGGCTGATTCAACCTTCATTGCTGCAGAACAGCTTTAAATTGTTAACCCACTTCGTGTTCCCTGAAAAAGGCCTTTTTGTATAATTCTGAAATGTACATTATTTTTCAGTTTTGGGTAACCAAACCTTTATTTTTAACCTCTGGCTGTTCAGTACTTACCTTTGTACCATTTCAAGCTATTCATTGGACTTGCACGACTTGAATTGCAATAAATAACTGGAAAAATTAGGGTGTTCTAAAACTTTTGACCGGTAGTGTATATCAATACACACACAATCCCTGTTGGTTTATATTAATACACACAATACTTGTTGGTTTGCATCTAAGCTTGGGATTTGTTGACAAAAAGAAAAATATTCAGTCTGATCAGACTTACAGTGTAAAACTAATGCTGAGAATTATGGACAGCGAGTTTCATCTGAAGATCAGGATTGCTTTGATAATTATTAATAGCTGCCTGAAGAAACATATGAACAATGAATTTTAACTAAATGTTTTAATCACTTAATTACTACAGCAGATCAAAAACTCCACCAGCTCCATTTGACTCTGTTATCAGTGAAAAGTGATTTATGTGTGATGGTCTCATATCAGTAACTCCTCACTGTCTACAGATAAACTGATGGACAAAAGGTTCCAGGTATTTATAAAACTTATGTCTGAGAAAAGTAGATATGATTTTCCAAACTTTATTCTCTGACAGGCTTTTGCTACAATTCTCATGTAAACCTGATTTAAATTTCATACTTTTGTATTGAATCATTTTCACTGTCATTAAAGAAAACACAAGTAAAACCCAGCAGGTTGTTTAACACTCTGTTTTTGAAGAATAGAAGTGCTGTTTGAAGGATCTCATAAAACTCAACAGGAGTTATTTTCAGCTTCTCATATAGAAGTTTTAACTCCATAATTTTTGTCAATGTCATCACATGATATCTGAAACACAATGCTCTCTGGTTGCAGGAGTTTACACAATACTCTACACTCAGATATACAACTACACATACTGGAACACAACTATACTACACTTGCGTTCACAGCCATACTACACACAAGAACACAACTATAAACAGTCACAAGTGTCTAGTGTTTGCCCAAAGACTGGAAAAAAGGATGGACAAAGCTTCCGTGACGACTCCCATAGTTTTCTGAAGAGCGGTTTTGAAGCTCAGAGTGAGCTGCACCGCTGTCGCCATCTTGCCAGTACCTGACTCCGTTGAACTCAGGGCTAACCCAAAAATGGGCAAAGAGGAGGGCCACATGTGGAGCTGAAACTTCGGTGCATGCCGGCTTGTGGCAGGCATTAAGTCTTCATAAAATTTAAACAATTGAGTTATATAAAGATTCCCCAATTGTCATGAAGGAGGAAATTAGCTATTGAGACCAAAACAGTTTTTGTACCAGGCTGTAAACATGTTTATTTGCTGCAAAGTTGGGCATTTTAACATTGGAGTCTATGGGGACTGACTCGCTTTTGGAGCCAGCTTCAAGATGTCATTTGAAGAAGTGCAGTCTTTGGTACTTCTGTGTTGGCTTCATTTTTCAGTCTCAGAGGTTGCTGCTTGTGTTAGCCACACGTGTTTAGAGACTTAAGTGACATGCCCACACATGTTGAGTATCAGCCAACTATCAAATTCTGTGACTGAAAATTGAAGCAAACACTGAAGTATCAATAACTGCAGTTCCTAAAGGTTAAGGGTTTTGGTCATAGTATAATAACATAATAAATGTATTTCTAAGACTTTTGATGCCTTACTATACTGTGACTTTTTATGATTTACTATACTGACATTTAATGCTGTACTATACTATGAATTTTTATGACATTTTTATGCCTTACTAAACTATGACCTTTTATTTCTTATTGAATTGTGACTTTTTATGCTTTACTATACTATGACATTTTTATAACATTTTATGACATTTTTATGACTTTTTATGCCTTACTAAACTGTGACACCATCACCACCCCATTTTTATCACTTAAGATAGGCTAAATAACAAACAGCTCTGTATAATGTAATTTACATGACATCCTCCACAGTGGTTAACTGAATCAACAACTCACTAAAACTATTTTAATAATAAATTGCCAACTGAGTATATTAGTAATTATCAGGTGTATGCTCAGGCTCCAAAGTTCCTAATTGCAATCAATTGGTTGATTTCAATGCTGTTCTCACCTGGGAACTGATATATCTGGTAACCTAAAGATGTTCTTTAATTTTATAGTTTTATCATATATTATTACTATCTCCCTATAACATGTTTTACCCCTCCCTCCCCATTTTCAAATGTAACCCAGTAACACATTTACTCAGAAACATTTTAACTGACTTGATTTGTTCATTTATATGAGAACGTCTTTAAATATTCTTTTACAATTTTTACTTCTACTAAATGTCCTTTCACTAATACTAGTGATGCTGTTCACATGTTGACATGCTGACGTCAGTGTGGTGTCCCATCTCCAGTCAGTTTCTGTTACTGGTAGAGTTCATTTGCTGCTTTGTCTGAACACAGTTTACGTTGCTATTTTCTTCATCAGAGTGTCTAACTACCTGCTGTACATTTAAACTTACACTAGTTCTGCTCCAGCACCCTGCTACTTTTAGCAACTTTCACTAACTCAGCCGTTGTTTACATGCTGTTCTGATCTGCTAGTTATTATTACCCTCATCATCATCATTATAACTATTATCATCAGCATTATTAACCTCATCATCACTATTATTAACATTATTATTATCATAATTATTATTACCATCATTATTATTATCATAATCATCATTATCATCATACATGAAGCTGTCAGGGACCTTCAATCTGCCAGGGTTAGGGTTAGGGTTAGGGTTAGGGAATCTCCATTGAAAATGAATTGAGATTCCCACTTCCAACTATGATTCCATGTCCGTATCTATTAGTATTGAAGGTGTCATTGGGAAATTCCATCTTCCACCTTTTTCTTCCAACTTTTTTTTTTCCAAGTACCTGCAGTGTCCTCTAGATGGCACTATGGGACAATTTTTCAATTCCAGAATAAAATTCCACTTTTTTCATTTCATTTCAATATTCCATTTTTCAACATATTATATGACTTGTATAAAGAATATCCTCTATTTCACCCTTCATTCCACTCTCTTATAGATTTCAACCCACATATGATTGAAGGATGGTTCTGTATACTTCAGGGTATTGTAAAAGTGTGTCACAAGGTGGTAGGCCCCACTTTATACAACCTTTCTCAAATTTATAAGGGAGAGATGCTGGCTGTCCCACAATGTGCCCCTCAGGGATAATAAAGCTGACCACTGGTTTGGGTTCAGGCCAATGGGGGAGCTCCAGACCAGTGGTTGGTTGAGTCTAGGCTGATGAGAAGGGTCTGGGCAAATTTTCAACTTGGTCATAGGACAAAATAACACATTTTTAGAAAGCCCTCAGTGGGGCAATCACAGCCATACACCTCCCAACTACCTATACTTTTAAATATGGAAGCTAGAGGGCGGCAACCTTCCAAAAATCCAAAATTTTGAGGTCTTGTAAAATGGGAACAGAAGCAGCTAGAAACCTGGTGAAAAGTGCATCTGGGAGCATTCTGACTTATCTATAACAACAGCAGGGTGAGCTATAGATGGGATAACTTTTTGGAAAAGCATGCACAGAAGATCTTCACACATACATTTTTGGAAAGCTCTCAATGGGGCGATCACAGCCATACACCTCCCAACTATCTATACTTTTAAATATGGAAGCTAGAGGGCGGCAAACTTCCAAAAATCCAAAACTTTGAGGTCTTGTAAAATGGGAAAGAAAGCAGCTAGAAACCTGTCAAAAAGTGCATCTGGGAGCATTCTGACCCATCTATAACAACAGCAGGGTGAGATTTAGATGGGATAACTTTTTGGAAAAAACGTGCACAGAAAATCTTCAAACTTATGTCGCATATAGCCCTCTCTTTGGTGACTATAGACCCCACGACAGAAATCCTCCAGGTCGTTTCCACATGACATTACACTGGTGCAAAAATGAGAGAAATTGCTATGTGAATTGGAACATGGGTTCACCAACAGATAGAAATCTGGGTGTGACCTTCGACCTTTCATAGGGTGAAACTTAGTAACAGGAAGCACCAAAGTTTTACACAGCATGACTCACTGTAAGTTCTATCTCATATCCCAAGCTCAGACAGATTGGACTATGGTCATAAATGCCATCTAGGGAGTTCCTGGTCAGGGAGCTCAGAAAGTATTTTCAGAGTTTGGCAACCCTGGATGAGTGGGGGATGGGCAAATTTTCAACTTTGTCGTAGGACAAGATAACATACATTTTTGAAAAGTCCTCAGCGGGGCGATGGCAACTGTACATGTACCACCAAGCTATGTTGATTGTTATGGAAGCTAGAGGGTGCCAAAATTTGAAAATTTTCACTTTGTTCTGACATTTGTCTCAGTAATGGAAGCACTCACAAACGTGAAACAGACAGCATTAAAAAGCTAATTAAGACCTCTGTCATATATACCAATGAAGTGGCAATTTTAGGCAACTTTAGGCAAAATATATGATTAAATAATAAATTTGGGGCACTTCCTGTGGGTCCATAGCTACAGAAAATGAATCACACCATCACAGGGGTGCCAGCTTTCAGTGAAATATGGCAAGTCTCTATCACACCGTATAGCCGAGCAAAGCCCCAAAATGTTGGTTGCCTAGCCCTCATTGACATAACATTATGACCTCTTGACCTCCAATCTAACTCATCTGTAACTCACCAACCGAAGTGGTTACAGACATGGAACAAGGTGTTCTGGAAAGCTCTCAAAGAGCTCTATCATATATGTCAAGATCAGCCCTGTAGCTCATTGATTTGGCTGAAAGCTCTAAGATGACCCCAGACTCTCAGAGTCCACTGAGACCCTTGGTTCCCTAACCCTAGGCTCTTCTGGCCATTAAGGTGAATTAGGCAAACTCAGCCATACTGCGTTGAAGAGCCACAAGCCACATATGGACAGAAAGATCTGATCAAGCCAAGTCGCTCTGTCATGAAAGCATAACCATAGCCCCTTCCTGTCCAGAGCTAGAGGGCACCAAACATTTACATTTTTACATGCTAAAGTGCTGTAACTCGTTAATGGAAGCAGCTAGGGGTGAGAGACAAGCATCTTTGGAAAGCTCTTGAAGAGCTCTATTGCATATTTCAAAATCAGCCCTGTAGCTCATTGATTTGGCTGAAAGCTCCAAGATGGACTCAGACTCTCAGAGTCCATGCTGACCCATAGTTCCTTAGGCCTTCTGGTAAAACAAGGTGAATCAGACAAATTCGGTCATATTGCATCATAGAGCCACAAGCCAGGTATGGACGGAAAGGTCTGATCGAGCCGAGTCTCTCTGTCTTAAAAGCATAGCTGTAGCCCCTTCCTGTCCAGAGCTAGGGGGCACCAAACATTGACATTTTTTACATGCTCAAGTGCTGTAACTCCTTAACGGAATCAGCTGGGTATGAGAGACAAACATCTTTGGAAAGCTCTCGAAGAGCTCTATCAAATATGTCAGCGCCATCCAGGTGGCGCTGTTCTGGAGCAAACTCTGCGACCAAAGGTGATAGGCCTAACTCGGACATACTCGATCATAGAGCGACAAGCAAGGCATCAACGGAAAGGGCTGGACGAGCTGAGTCAAGCAGTGTTGTAAGCAAACTGGTAGACCCTTTCTGTCAAGAGCTAGGAGGTGCCAAAGTTTGACATTTTTCACCATGTTGAGTGCTGTATCTCTGTAAAGGAACGTGTGAGGGATGAG